ATAATCGCTGCTGTGGTGGCACCATTGTTGCAGCTACTGTGTCTATGCATCTTGTTGAGGAACTTCCACATCTTTACTGACCTTCTGTTTTGCGAAGTATGGATTTCTTCTGCTTTGTCCAGCGTGGCTCCAGAGACTGGCCCCTTCCTGCTACATGCACAAAGTATGTGAAAGGAAGTCTCACCATATTCTCTTCTAAGGAGCATTCTGGCTACAATTCTTCCAAGATGTATTGTTTTTTACACTTTAAAAAAAAAATTCATGGTATAGTAAATAGTTTAGCTAATACTGTACTTCAAAGACCTCACTTTTTCTTCATTTTTCCTTATTCAGTGTCTAACTTCCACATGCATGTGCTGTTTTATTAAGTGCTATGAGTCAGCTGCAACTTAGAGTGACCCTAAGAACATCGGCTATGAACCTTGCCCTATCCTGCACCATTATCACTGTTTCCGGTATGTTCTACCCGATCATGATAGCCATTGCATCAGCCCATCTTGTTGGAAGTCTTCCTCTCTTTATCTGATCCTTAATTTTTCTAACATTTTGTCTTTTTTTCCAAGTACTGGCTCCTCCTGACATCATGTGCAATCTATTTTACACGAAAGTTCACCATCTTTGCCTCTAAAGAGCACTCTGCTGCACTTCCTCCAAGAGGAACAAAAGAAAGACTTTCAAAGGAAGACTTCTTTGTTCTTTTTGGCAGCCCAGGGGATATTCAGTACTTGTCTTCAACACCACAATTGAAATAATTCTTCTGTGATCCTTATTCATTGTCCAACTTCCTGATAACGTTGGCAGCAGTTGAAAATACCATGACTTGAATCAGGCACCCTTTAGTCTTTACAATTGATGCCCTTGCCCTTTAGAACTTTGGAGATGTCTTTGACAGCTAACTTCCCTAATGCAACATGTCTTTTGATTTCTTGACTGCTGTTACTTTGGGTGTATTGTGTGTGTTGAAGTAGAAAGCCATCCTTGGCCCCTTTCATTTTCTCTTTCTTATGATGTTGCATACTACTAGTGGGGAAGATTGTTGCTTTCTTGATGTTGAGGTGTAATCTGTATTGAAGGCCTTTGATCAGCTGTGGTGAGTGCTTCAAGACTTCCTCCCTATTAGCAAGCAAGGTAATGTCGTCTGCATTACGCAGGTTGTTGGATCTTCTGCTAATCCTGATGCCACATTCCTCTATATATAGTTGAGCTCCATGAGTGATTTGCTTAGCATACAGATTGATTAGGTGTAGAGAAAGACTACATCCCAAGAATGATTTGCTTAGCATGCAGATTGATTAGGTGATAGAGATTGATTAGGTGTAGAGAAAGAATACAACCCTGATGCACACACCTTTCCTGATTTTAACCCTTGTGGTGTTCCCTTGTTCTGTTAGGACAGTTGCTTTTCATGTACAGAGAGGTGGTTGAAAACACTGTGTGACTTGGGACAGGTGGAACTTAATCATCCACGTGACTTCTCTGTTCTTTAACACCAAGAAGTCCTTGGCAGCAGATTTGTTCATTGCAAGAAGTAATTTGATTCTTGACTGCTCTCCTGTGATCATTGATTATGGATCTAAGTAAGCTGAAATCTTGGATAGCTCCAAGCTTTTCTCCATTTTTCATGATATTCTTTATAGGTCCATTTGTGAGCATTTTTGTTTTCTTTATGCTGGAGTCCTAGTCAAAATTTTTGTGAAAAGAAAAACTGAAAACAGCATCATATTATAAATGAAAGTATGTTGGTTTTTTATTCTCTTTCATGTTCCTTCAGTCATGTTGGCTTTAGGGAGCTCTGATGAAGTAATCCGCAGGGATTTGCACTGTTACCTCAGAGGTGATACGCCTCTGGCATTTTGAATTTCCTAAAGCCTGTGAAACAGAAAGATGGGCAAGCTTTCCCCACACAATTTATATCCTCTGAAAATCCGCTGGATGGGTAGAGCAGGGAAACAGGTCAGCTCTGAGTCAGTTACGATTTATGATAGTGAACGAGTATGTAGGTAGATAACAACTGCTAGTTACAGTGTGACCCTCCAACAAACACAAAGCCGTGTGTCTTTCTCTTTCTTCCTTTTTAAATTTTAACATCGGTTTTGCTACCTAGGCTATTCTTTGTCCTCACCTGAACACATGAGTCAGAATCCCAAGAGGAAGGCTGAAGTTTCTGTATTTTGACATATGCCTCAAGTGATTCTTACCATTAGCAGATTATGGACAACACAGGCCACATTATCTTACGTGATCATTTTAATAATTTTTAAAATGGCAATTTAAAAATCACAATCCCTTAAAGACTGAGGAAAAAGAATTTCTGATAAAGTTGAAAAACCATTAAGACAGAAAGTTAATTAAAAAAAAAATCTTTTATAAATAAAATCCCAGGACTGCTCACCTTTGCGGAAAACAAGGCTGTAATTCTGTGGTGTCTGATAGTGTCCCATGAACTTCTTTCATTAGTTCTCTGCCTTTTCTTCAAATTAGCAGATACTGATGTTTAAAGATAATGTTTTTGGCGAGCTCTGGTGGTCTAGTAGCAAAAAGCTGTACTGCAATCCTAGGGGTGCATGGTTTGAATCCACCAGATGCTCTGCTGGAGAAGGAGGGACAATCTCCTCCTGTTCCAGTCAGATCTGATTTGATGGTACAAACACACACAAAAATAATAAAATAAAGATATTGCTCTTCTTCTCAGAGCAGTATTTTAGAAGTAAATACATGTATCTACCAACATCTTTTCACACTCTGTTGTTGTTAAGTGCCATCGATTCACCTGCGACCCTCAGTGACCCTATGAATATGCAGCTCCAAATCCTGCCCTGTCCTGAGCCAGTCTTATTAATTCCAACACAGCAACCTCCATTGTCCCAGTTACTGTGTCAATCCATCTTCTCGGGGGTCTTCCTCTTCTGCCCTGTCCCACCACCATTCCAAGCACAATGTCCTTCTCTAAGGACCTGTCCCTTCTGGGCACATGCCTAAAGTATGTGAGATGGAGCTTCACTCTATTTCTCAGGAAAGCCAGTTAAAATAACTTCACCTCTGATGTGAGCCTTGTCTATGTAGGCATTCTAAATATGTTAATAAAGCTTAAACTAGAGGGTCAAGGCCACAGAAGGAAACACAGTGCCATCAGAAAACAGTAACTTTAAATGCCCAAAGATTTGGTACCCAGTGACCAGTTTTCAAAACTAAGTAAACAAAGTCAAGTTCCACAGCTGTCTCCATGGTACACTATTTCCTTGCCTTTGGAAGAAAACCCCAACTCACTGCCATCAAGTCAATTCTAACTCATGATGATTGTCCAGCAGGTTTATGAAAGTGTAAATCTTAATGGGAAGAGATTTCCCCTCTTTCTTCTATTTGATGAGGAGGCAGAGGTGAAATAGAATGGCCAATTGAAAATTGTAAATAGAAAAAATAGACAGCAGAAATGATGCTATCATAATTGAAGCTATTGTCCCCCAAACCACTTCTTTGAATCACTTTCATATAGAACCTCTGCTAGAAAGCAGTCCCTAACAGAAGGGGGGAAAAAAAGAAATAACCACTTATGATAATGTCTTATTTTACAATTAAGAGCTACTGACCTGGGTTGGCATAGTATTTTTTATTAAGCTGGACAAGAACTAAAGATGATAGAAGAAGGATCTATGCCTTTGAGTTGTGATGCTGGATAAGAGTGTTGAACATACCATGGACTGCCAAGAGAACAAACGGGTCTGTCCTGGAGAGGATGTGGCCAGACTGCTCCCTGGAAGCAAGGATTTTGAAGCTCCATCTCACATACCCAAAGTATATACAAAAGGCTCACAAATTAGATGTGAAGGTCTTTTAACTGGCTCTCTTGAGGTGTAGAGTGTAGCTCCATCTCACGTACTTTGGGCATGTGGCCAGGAGAGACCAGTCCTTGAAGAAGGACATCATGCTTGGAAGGGTGGAGGGACAATGCAGGAGAGGAAGACCCACGATGAGAAGGATTGACTCAGTGACTGGGGTAATGGGGGTAGGTGTGTTGGAGATGTTGAGATTGGCTTGCTATAGGACAGGGGTCAGAGCTAATGTCAGGCCACTTGATGGCATATAACAACAACGATAACAAGGACTACACTACTAGAGTTCCCTGCATGGGCAACATTTTGGTTAATGATTGATTTTGTTGGTATTAATGTATTTGTCATAAGGTTTCTTGACAGGTTTGTTGTGTTTGTGGGTTTGTCTTTGGTTTGTTATTTTTGTTTGTTTTTTAGTATGCTCATTTATTTTGCTTTTTATGTTTTGCTTTGTTTTACTGCTGAAATAATCTGGAGTTTCAAGTATTCTTTTTCCCCCCTTTCTTTCTTTTGTTTGAAAACATAAATCACAGTCAATTATATTTAAATAAAGGGTAGATTGTTGGGTTGGGTTGTTTTTGTTGTTTTGGGTTTTTTTTTAAATGGTAGGCATTATTGTTGTGCACACTATACAGTGTAGTTTCTTAATGTTCAGCTTTTCTAGCTTCAATAATTGTGCCTTAATTGTGGCATATTGTGCAGTAGTTTTTTTGTATTCTTAATGTTTCAGTACAAGAAATTGTTGAAAAGGCATGCTGATAATACTACTGACAGTTACAGAAAGGGTCAAAGCAAAGATGTGCATTCTTTCCAAAGCATTTTTAAGCACCAAACACGACAGTCATAGTTGACCTACTTAGGCAGGTTTTAACTTGTCTTTCCCCTCCCTCTAATGTTACTGAGGCCATTTATTCATGTAGATTCCCACCAGAGATCCTGTCTACACACAAAACTCACCTGTCAAAGAAAACAATTATGTTGGCCCAAAATAATTCACTGTATACTCTGATTGTGTGCCGAATAGTTGATGGAGAAGCAGGAATTGAAAGCATTCCACACATGTCAGAAGGAAAAAATCTTGGGGATGATCATAAGTTTCTTTTCTCTGCTTTTACAAAACAGCCTTGTTTTCAGGATAACTGACGGTAAACTTGTTTTCCAACGCTGTAGGCAGCCCAGTTGGAGAGCCTTGTGGAAAGACTTGCCTGGAAGAGAGAGACAATCAGTGGTTGGGAGTCACACTTTCCAGGCAGCCTGGAGAGAACGGATCCATTGTGGTGGGTATTGCGATTGGTGTCTTGTTAACACAATGAAATCAGACATTCTGGGTGTGAGTTTCACATCATTCAGTCTAATTTTATGTTTTATTTAGACTTGTGGACATAGATGGAAAAATATATTTTACATAAGAAATGAAAACAAACTCCCCACTGGTGTTTGCTATGGAATGCCCTCCGATTTAAGAACTGAACTGAGTAAAAGGATAGCTCCGTGTTACCAAGGTAAGGCATAATTCTGATAGTAACTGGATCAAGAGAAAAAAGTTAATGTTTTTAATTTCTTCTCTTTCGGATTTTCAGTGAGGATACTTTGAATAGCTATAACTATTTTTAAATATCCCTTCTTTTCATTTCTTTTTTTCAAACTCTGTTGTAGTAGCTTTGATTTTCATAAATATAGTATATCTCATTGTTATGATATATTGTGAAGTTGGAACCAACCCATAGCTGACCCTCCATTGGATTTTCAGAGGCAGTTTACCTCATAGGAGGAGATGCCATCTCTCTCTGTAAAGCAGCTGGTGGATTAGAACCATATTTGTTTGCTTCCCTTACCAAATACAGTTCCTTAGCACTAAGCCACCAATTTTATATTTTATTTGGCATAATTTTGCATATGTTGTGTACTGTAGAGTTGGAACTGACCCACAGCTGACCCTCCAGAGGGTTTTCAGTTAATCACAGAGGAGGATGTTGTCCATCGTTCACAAATAGTGATTAACCTTTTAAATTTTACTTTCAACTCAGTGTAAGTGAAATTAATATCTAGTGAACATAGAATAATACTAAAATCATGAGATTACATTAAAAAACTATCAGAATGGAAAAAAATCCAAGTGTTTAGGTTGCTACTTTAATCTCCCAAGAATATCCTCAAACTTCAAAGTATAAGTATAAACACTACTGTTCTACTATCTTCTTAAAAAATACTTCAGATTTTTTTTAAAAACAGCAAAAGATTGATGTCTTAAGTTTGAAAGTTCTTTCAATAAAAATTCTAGGCTATATAGGAAGGATCAAAGAAGAGAGAGCTGAAACAGAAAGAAATTACTTAATTGAAAAAAGCGGGGGTCAGTATAAAGAGAATATTAAAAATTATTTGTGCAACAAAACTCAAAATCTAAAAAAATATGTCCTTGGAAAACTAAGAATTAAATATATGTAAATACTGATTTTCAACTTTTTAAACTGAAATTATTACTGCAAAGGTCAAAGAAATTTTTCTTTTGCTAGCAGAACTTGACCAAATATACCAATTCAGTCATTGATAATTGAGATCTTTATCCCCCAGATTTTTCCATCTGTCCATCCACCCACCCATCCATCCATCCATCCATCCATCCATCCATCCATCCATCCATCCATCTATCCATCCATCCAACCAATCTATGTAGATATATTCCTATATACCCTTATTGCTGGTATTTGCATGAAGTTGGAACTGACTCATAGCTGACCCTCCAGCAAGTTTTCAAAGGCAATTCATTATATGCCCTTAGATTCCCCAAAATATATGTTTGAATTCTCAATTGTAGTAAAATTCAATCTGGATATCTACATATTTATTATCTTCTTTTTCCTCCTGGATTATAGTTTACAACATTTTCACAGTTGTTCTTTTTGTCCAGATATATCTAGCTATATTCTATTAAAAAAACAGGGAAAATCAATATCCCATAAAATAAAGACATGCAATATGGCAAAATATATAAGTAGAAAAAATAGCATCAGGGAATATAGAAAATGAAAAGAAAACCTATTAGGAAATAGTTAATTGTAAATGTCTTGGCATTTTAAGTTTTTGTTTATGTTTTCTGATTGGTAAAGTCAAAAGGAAGATATTTTCATCACAGTGTATACAGTTCAGTTCTTCAGGGGTAGCAAAGCTAAATCTTCATATTTGAGTCTAAAAGTAGATTCATTCATCACAGTTTTGTCATTAGAAAGCTTACATCTCCCTGAAGATCTTGATTCAGTCTGAGAAAAATCTAGAAAGCCTATTTTTTTCTGGTGCTGCTGTAGTCTGTCTGGAGTTGCCCTACTGACCTCTCAGGCAGTTTGAATCCACCAGTGATCTCCAGGACAAAGATGGGAAATCTCCTCCTATGTGGCTTACAGCTTTGGAAACACAATGGAGGGTCAACTATGAGTCAGTTCCAACCCCATGACAGTGACTGATTTTTAAATAGTGAGACCTGGATTAAATCTTATTTCTAACCTGAGTATTTATTGCCAAAAAATTTTTGGTGTGTGCTGTACATTCTTCTCATGAAAAATAAGTAAGGGTAGGTAATTTTATTGTTATTTATTAGAAATATTGTCAAGATTTAGTATGGAAGATATTTGTAAACGTAAAATCTTTTATCTAATAAAAAAAATGAAGCAGTGCAGAATACAATTCTTAAAAGGTATATTTTACAAGAAAAACAAAATTATGGAAGCTTAATTACCCATTTAAAAATTAAATCCTGAATTTTTTTTATCCTTTATTTTAGATTTTGTGAGAAAATTTGGGGAAAATTTTGCATCGTGCCAAGCTGGGATATCTAGCTTTTACACAGAGGTAATAATAGTTTAACCACTAGATGCTATGAATGTTTACATATAGAAGCTTCTTTATGAAAGTTTAGAAAAATTATGCAGTATCTAGTGTAATCTGTCTCTCAAATTTGACAGTATTACAAGTGCATTTTTACCAGTTGGTATTATGCATGTATTTTTAGGAAATATTAATATTTGAGTGATTGCATCATTACGAGACTAAAACTCTACAATTAATGACTATTTTCATTAAGAATGTGATGAAAACCAAAAGTAGTTTTAAGGTGTTTTGTAGTACTTGCTAACTTTGATACTTTCTACCCAGTTACATTGTTTCTAACTATGAGTTGAAGAGGAAAGGAAGCACCAATGTTTATATTTTTATTATAATGCAAAGATTTAGGAGCTTAATTGCTGTCTTATTCTTGTTATGTGCAACTGAATAGACTATGACGCATAACGTCCTCTAAACAGCAGACTGGCACTTTACCCGATCCTCTGGCAACCTCATCGTCTCCAGTTTGCTCTTCTAGGACAGACTTTGTGAAAGGTCATGGCTGTCCTCAAACTCCAAGTGTCCCAGTTTCTGATAAAATCTGATTGTGAATTCATGATTTTTTTCCAAATCAATAATGATTTCTAGAAATATTATATACAAAATATTATTCTAGAAATATTATCTAGTGGATGAAGAGTTGCTATCAACTCAAAGGCAAGCAGTTTGAATCCAACTAGTGCTTGGCACGAGGAAGGTGAATAGTCTCCTCCCAGGTGGTTTTCAGTTTCTGAAAACCCTTTGGAGGGTCTGCTATGAGTCACTTCCAACTTGATGGTGTGTAGTAAGATCAACTGAAAAAAAGACTCAAAATAATATTTCTACTTGCGATCGAAAGTCTGCTGTTAGGGACCTCTCCAAAGTACTGAAGAGCAATGCTGTCTCTTTGGAGACTAAGGTGTGTCTGATACAGGCCATAGTCTTTGCTATCACTTGTCATGCATCAGAGAGTTGGACAATGACTAAGGAGGATAGAAGGAGAATTGATGCCTTTGAGCTTTGGTGCTGGAGAAGAGTGTTGAGGGTACCATGGACTGCTAGGAAAACAAATAGATTCATCCTGGAAAGGGTTTAGCCAGGCAGGTCCCTAGAGGCAAGGATTCTGAGGCTCTGTCTAACATACTTTGGACATGTTGTAAGGAGGGACTGGCCCTTGGGGAGGGACATCATGCGTGGGAGGGTGGAGGGACAGCGCAGGAGGGGAGGGCCCTCTATGAGATGGATTGTTTCAGTGACTGGGGTAATCAGGATAGGTGTATCAGAGACAGTGCAATTGGCACAGGACAGAGCAGGGTTTAGGGCTGTTGTACATAGGGTCCCTATGAGTCACAAGTGACTCGATGGCACACAACAACAACAACAACATATTTAAATTGACTTTAAAGTTCCATATTGCTTGGGGGGTTCAATTCTATTTAATATTTCTAAATTGCTGCAAGGTTCCATACTCCCCAAGGTAATGGCCGCTTATTCCAGCCTTGCCTCTGTTTTTTTCAACAAATTCCTGTTTGTAAGCAAATATAACTCATATTCCATTGGGTTTTCTTAAAGTTAACACTGTTAAAGAAACTGTTGTCTTATGTGTGTGTACTGTCGAGTCAGAACTAACCTATAGTTGACTCTCCAGTGGTTTTTCAGAGGCAGTTAATCGAATGGGAGGAGATTGTCCATCCTCCGCCCTAAAGAGCAGCTGGTGGATTCGAATTCCGTGCCTTCGGGATTGCAGTGAGGCTTTTAACTCATCAGTGGGCTTTTTCTACCAACTGAAAAAATAAGTCCCTTTTTTAATCTTTGGCAACACAAGAGTTTCTCCTTAAAGAGGACAAGTGAATTATCTAGACTTTATTTACTTTTAATAGAAACCACCTTGATTTCTCTCCTAAAACTTACTCTGTTATTCAAAGATTCTACTTCTGTTTAACTTCCTTGATAAGTTTTAAGTGATAATTTCAGAGAAATTCTCTGAAATTCTATTTTCATGTGTAAATCTATTAACAAGCTTGCCCTGTATGTTTTAAATTCATTTAATTCTCATTTCAGAAATTCAGTAGAACAAGTATATTCCCTTCACTATTTACTTAAAATTTTATATATCTGGAGGAGGCTTGGTGGTCTGAGTGAATGTCAAACTGATGATGATTTTGTTTGTTTGTTTCTCTTACAGGATCTGATTGTGATGGGGGCTCCAGGCTCATTTTATTGGACTGGCTCTCTCTTTGTCTACAATATAACTACAAATAAATTCAAAGCTTTTTTAGACAGACAAAATCGAGTAAAATATGGAAGTTATTTAGGTACTATAAAAATTGATAAATTGAAATTATTTTGTTTTACTGATACTGGTGTTTTTGTTGAGTGCTATAGAGTCAGAACTGACCCATAGCTGAACCATTTCTAGGTTTTCAGAGGCAGTAAATCACATGGGAGGAGATTGCCCATCTTTCCCCTTCAGAGCATCTGGTGTATTTGAACCTTGTGTGTTAGGTGTATACCCTGAGGGCACCAAAGTCCCCTATCTGTAAATGATTTCTAGGATTTGATACTAGTAATTATAAATAGTTGGCTCGATGGCACACAACAACTATAAATAAGGGAATTTATAGTGGTGTCAAGAAATCTGGAGAACAACCACCTGGCCCACTGACTGGAAGAGATCTATATTTCTTCCCATTCCAAAATGAGGTGACCCAACAAAGTACAGAAATTATCGAACAATATCGTTAATATCACATGCAAGTATGAGTCTGCTGAAGATTATCTAAATATGGCTAGAACAGCACATCAACAGAGAATTGCCAGATGTGCAGGCTGGGTTTAGAAGAGGCTGTGGTACTAGGGATATAAGCAGAAAGTACCGGAGGAATGTATATCTTTGTTTCATTGACTGTGCAAAGGTGTTTGACTGTTTGGATCACAACAAACTGGCTGACTCTGAAAAGAACTGGAATCCCAGAACATTTTATCATGCTTATGAAAAACCTCTACCTGGACCAGGAAACAGTTGTCAGAACAGAACAAGGAGACACTGATGGTATAATTGGGAGAGGTATACGCTAGGGATGTATTCTCTCTCCATACCTTTTCAAGCCATATGCAGAACAAATCATCCAGGAGACTGGGATGCACAAGGAGGAATGTGGCATCAGGATTGGAGGAAGATTCATCAACAACCTACGTTATGCAGATGACAAAACCCTGCTTGCTGAAACTGAGGAGGATCTTAAGTGCTTGCTGCAGAAGATCAAGTACTGCAGCCTTCAATATGGATTGAAGCTCAACATCAAGAAAACAGAAATACCACTGGGCTGATCTGATTGGTAGCATTATGATAGATGGTGAAGAGATTGAGATTGTTCACAGCTTTAGTTTGCTTGGCTCCACAATCAACATTCTTGGTACCAGCAGGAAATCAAGAGATTAATTGCACTGGGGAAAGATAGCCATCAGGGACCTCTTCAGAGTACTGAAGAGCAGTGATGTCAGTCTGGAGACTTAAGATGTGCCTTATCCAGGCCATAGTCTTCACAATTGTTTGCTATGAGTCAGAGAGCTGGAGAATGACTAGGGATGATAGAAAGAGAATTGATGCCTTTGAGCTGTGGTTCTGGAAAAAGAGTGTTGACTATACCAAGGACTGCCGGGAGAACAAACAGATTCATCTGAGAGAGGGTGAAGCCAGGCTGCTTCTTGGAGGCAAGGTTTGTGAGGCTTTGTCCGATATACTTTAGGCATGTTTTAAGGATGGACCAGTCCTTGGAGAGGGACATCATGCTTGGAAGGATGGAGGGATGGAGAAAGAGAGGGAGACCACCATCAATGAGATAGATTGGTTCAGTGGCTGGAGTAATGAGGGTAGGTGTGTCAGAGACAGTCAATTTGGCCCAGGATAGAGCAGGTGTCAGGGCTTTTTTACATAGGGTTGCTCTGATTTGCAAGTGACTTGATGGCACATAACAACAACCATGATAATAAGGCCACAATACCATTCTTTTTTATTTTAATTTTAGAATGTTTTGTGCACATCAAAACATTTCTGTCATAATTCTAAAAGCTAGTACGTCCATGCAGTACACACAAAACCCAAAAACACTGTCATCAACTCTATTCCAATTCATATGATTACCCTCTGCGAGCTTTCTGAGGCTCTAGACATTCATAGGGGAAGATTATCCATCTTTCTCCTGTGGAGCAACTAGTAGATTAAAATCACTTCTCAGCCGCCAAGTGCCTACCAGACTGTGCTACTGGGGTGCATCTGATACTACACAGGTACTAATAACCCAAATGTAAAGTTACTATACTCAGTTTCTAGACCTTGGAAATAGAAATGTTTGGCTACAGTTTTCTAGCAATACTAGTTTAAATCACATATTACTGCTTAAATAGCTAGCTCTGAGTATTACTCACCTTAGAAATCTGTTTAGTGTCCTAACATTCAGTCTCCTTTACTTGTAGAACATGGTAGCCTAGTGTGGGTAAGGAGTTGTACTGCCAACTCAAAGGCAGGCAGTTCAAATCCACCATCTGCCCTGTGGAAGAAAGCTGGATAGTCTTCACCCATTCAATTTACAACCTCTGAAAACCTGCTGGAGGAACAACTATGAGATGTTTCCAACTCAATGGCAATAAGTTATTGTTACGTCTAAAATTGGAATTAAGGTGTTATTTTTCACCTTTGAAAATAATGATGCTTAAATTTTTCTTTCTTCTTTTCTGAAGGCTATTCGGTTGGAGCTGGCCATTTTCAGAGTCCACATACGACAGAAGTGGTTGGAGGAGCACCTCAACATGAGCAGATTGGTAAAGTAAGACTTACATTTTTATGTTTATTTCTGCACAGAAATGTCCCAAGAAACTTAAAAGGCAACAAAAGTGGAACTTAAAAATGTCTATGGGATAAAATATTAGAAGTGATGAATAATATAAAATATTAGAAGTGATGAATAATATAATCCATTTAATTAAACTGTTAGAGGTGTATAGTTATTAGAATAAATATAGCTGAGAAACTTTAAGGAAAATTATATATGCCAAAATGAAGCTTTTCAGTCTTATTAGTAAAATATATTCTAGGTAGAATTACCAAAAGACTTCACAGGAATATGCTTGTTTAACAACTTTGCAATTCCTGACTTCTCAGGCTGCTAACCAGAAGGTTGGTAGTTTGAATCTATAAGCTACTCTGTGGGAGAAAGTTGGACAGGCTCCTCTTGTAAAAGATTCAACGCCTTGGAAACCTTATAGGTCACTATGATTCAGAATCAACTCAGTGGCAATGTGTGTTGGTATTAATGTGCTTTGTGGTAAGTCTGGAATACAGAGAATGTTCTTTCTGGTTCTAGTGTTTATTAGCAAGCTGTATGAACATTACTTATCCAGTCTTTTTGATGTTTGATTTCTGTACCCTTTCTATGAGATTAATTAGGTATTTTCTGAGAAGAAAATTTTATTATGCGACATTTTAATCTGACAGTGGGCCCCTAGGCCTTTCATATCACTTTTATTTTTTATATGTGAGCCATTTATAAATCAGGAAAATTGGTGTTTTGAACAAATATGTCTTTTAAATTGGAAAGCAGTCTAACCTTTTCTAATTCTTTTCCCAATTGCAGGCGTACATATTCAGCATTGATGCAAAAGAGCTAACAATTTTAAATGAAATGAAAGGTAAAAAGGTAATATGTTTCTACCTTTGGTATAGCTGAGGGCTTTTGCGAGTAGCCCTGCTGTTTTTCTCAATGGTTGGATCTGCTTTGCTTTGGGGCAGCTTGGATCGTATTTTGGAGCTTCCATCTGTGCTGTGGACCTCAATGCAGATGGCTTCTCGGATCTACTCGTGGGAGCTCCCATGCAGAGCGCCGTCAGGGAGGAGGGAAGAGTGTATGTGTACATCAACTCTGGCGCGGTACGTCCATCCTCCTGGAAACTCAACGCCATTCCAAGAATGATGATCAAGATAGAAATGGTTACTATTCAGGCATTGTGATAGGCTAGATTCTTCTGTTTATTTCTCTGCTGAAAGAACAAGTTCCGGTATTGCACTGGTGCTCTAAAAATAGAATGGAGCATGATGATGAATGGGCAGCGGTCGTAGTTTGATATTTCGAGGTCTAAGATAAATTGTTTTGGAGTTTCTATCCTCACAACTGTCCACTAGTTGAAACGTCTTCCATTTTTATTATGAAACCAGTCTGATTTTTAAAAAAATATTTAATACATTATCCAAAATGTAGATTTTTAAAATTGGTTCTGTACTTAATGATCTTCCATAATTTCAAAAATTATAGTAATATTTAGGAGGTGAACAAGAAGGGTTTTTAATTTCTTGTCTTCAAACAGGGAAACAGAATGTGTTTTTTTATAACATGTATTTTGCATAGTGTATGTAGATTATATTCTGGATTAGAATATAATTTTTCAGAGTTCATTCTAAAATGTATATATTAATTGTGGAAATAAGTAATCATTGCTTAGGACAGAATTTTATTTTGGAATATATACTGACCAGACTGACAGATCAGTTAAGAGTACTGCTGGCTTTGTCGTCCCAACCTACTTACTTGACATTAAATGAAAGCAAACAATTGATAAAGCCTTGAGTGGTTCATTTTTTGTTGGCACATTAGTCAGTATGTTAGGAGTAAGCAAACTAAAATCTATTGCATAAAGTTTTGATAACTTTGATAGTACCAGAGCATTTATTAAATTCTAAGCAGAATGAGGTTCAGTAACTATTTTTAATGAATTCAGGAAAGAATGAAACCTGAATAAGTCTAGATTACACGTGCATGAAGCAGCTCTCAGAAATGCCAGGCAAACCCTTGATCATCTTTCTTCCTGAATGAAAAGTACTCTGTCTTTAAACCGTGCTCCTGCCATTGCACTGCTGTACGCCTGCTTTTGGTCTGTCCTCTGTGGACCCTTTCTCACTATCTTCTGAAGTTTGCAAGACTTTGCTCATGAATATCATTGCTATGTTTGAGCCCATTGTTTTGGCCACTGTATCAGTACATCTCTTTGGTAGTGTTGCTCTTTTTCAATGACCCTCTATTTTACAGAACATGATATCCTTCTCTAAGAAGTAGCTTCTCCTAATTACATGTTCAAAACACATGAAATAGAGTCCATCTGACATCAACAATAATGTCTCCTTCCTGAAATTGGTTTGGATTTATGGCAGTTTCCTGTTACTGTATGGTTGCAACCATTTTTTTTTCTTCAGCAAAATGTTACCTACAATATTAATCAATACTGTTCAATCATGTCCACATTCTGTTGGATCACTTTTATCTCTCAGGGCCACAAATGGTGGATCATTTGTTTTCAGTTGGTCAAGTAGCTGTCTTCAAATGTCTGTCTTAGTATAGACAAGTCAGCCCACCCAGCACTGCAGCTGTTGAAACATCTCAGTTGGTGTTCTGGCAGTTCCTTGAAAATTATTTTTTCGCAATGCCTTTAGTGCATCTTAGGTTTCTTCCCTTAACACATTTGGCTCTTGATCATATGTTGCCCCTTAAATATTTTAATATCATTCAGTCATTTTTGGTACAGCAACTTTAGGTTTTCTTTCCACCTCCTTTTCAGATGCTTCCAGTGTCATTCAGTATTTTGCCCATAGAATCTTTCAGAATTGCATCTTGAGACTTGAATTTCTCTTCACTTCTTTCAGTTTTAGAAATGCTGAGTATCTTTTGGCTTCCTAACTCCAGGCCTTTGTTTATGATAGTACATTACTTTACTTTGTCTTTGCAAGTTGCCCTTTGATATCATCTGTACAGCTGTTTTACTTGGCCAGTTCTTCCCTTCCTTTCCGTTACTCTACATTCAAGAACAAGCTTTCTGCCAGTGGATGTCCAACTTTGCCAGCACCATTTATTAAAGAGATTGCTGTTTCCTCATTTAATGGGCTTTGTTTCCTTGTCAAATGTCAGTTTATCATAGGTAAATGGGTTGATTTTCTGGATTCACTATTCTATCCCATTGATCTATGTTTGTGTCATTGTACAAATTTCATGCTGTTTTGATAACTATAGTTGTGTAATAGGATTTGATATCAGAGAGTGAGATGCCTCATATGTCATTTTTGTTTTTCAGAAAAGCTTTGCTTAATCTGATACTCTTTCCTTTCCAATTGAAATGGAAATTGCTTTTTCTATCTCCTTGAAGAATGTATATTTTTTTTTCTATCTGTATAGGAATTGTGTTCAGCTTGTGGATTGGTTTTTGTAGGATTGTCATTTTCACAATGTGCAGTCTTCCTATCCTTGAACAGGGACAGGATCTACATCACACATCATGTTGTTGCTGTTGTTATGTGCCGTCGAGTCGCCTGCGACTCATAGCGACCCTATGTACAACAGCCCTAAACTCCGCTCTGTCCTGTGCCAATCGCAGTGTCTCTGATACTCCCATCCCAATTATCCCAGTCACTGAATCAATCCACCTCATAGAGGGCCTTCCTCTCCTGCGCTGTCCCTCCACCCTCCCAAGCATGATGTCCCTCTCCAAGGACCGGTCTCTCCTCACTACATGTCCGAAGTAAGTTAGACGGAGCCTCAGAATCCTTGCCTCCAAGGAGCCACCCGGTTTAACCCTCTCCAGGACAAATCTATTTGTTTTCCTAGCAGTCCATGGTATTCTCAGTACTCTTCTCCAGCACCACAGCTCAAAGGCATCAGTTCTCCTTCTATTCTCCTTGGTCATTGTCCAACTCTCTGATGCATAACAGGTGATTGCGAAGACCATGGCCTGTATCAGATGCACCTTAGTCTCCAGAGAGACACCACTGCTCTTCAGCACTTTGGAGAGGTCCCTAACAGTAGACTTTCCCATGGAATGTGCCTTTTAATTTCCTGGCTGCTGGTGCCAAGACTGTTGACTATGGAGCCGTCCCACATCATACACAAAAAAATCAACTCAAAGTAGATTAGAGACCTAGGAGTAAAACCCAACATCATAAATACCAAGAGAGACAAAATGGGACCAAACTTTGTAGGGCTAGAATAGGAAAGATTCAGTAGAGACTGGAAAAGAGAGAATGATAACAAGCATAAGTCAGTAGCAATTATATACTATAAAATGAATGTAGGGAGCTCTGGTGGCCTCATGGCAAGAAGGTGCACTGGAATCCCAAAGGCACACAGTTCGAATCCACCAGCTGCTCTGCAGAAGAAATATGGGCCATCTCCTATGCAATTAACTGCCTCTACAAACCTCCTGGAGGGTCAGTTATGGGTCCATCCCAACTCGACAGTAAACAACAACAACAGCATAATGTATTTAACTGTATAAAACACAATGTACATGAAGGAAACACAACGTGATTGTATGCAAACCAATAAAGAAAAAGAAAAAACATTTTTAAAAAGAACAAGTTTTCAAATCTCTTCTGACATCCACTTTGGTTTTTTCTTTCTTTCCTTTAATTTTAATGACTTTTTATTTTTGTCTGTGTGACACCTTTGATGTAATAGCAACACATACTGTATTAAACTCAAATTCTTTGCTGTTGAGCCAGAAGTGACACATAGCTGACCCTCTAGCAGAATTTCTGAGGACATAAATTGCATGAGAGGAGATTACCTATCTTTTTCAGCAGCTGGTAGATTTGAACCGTGTGCTTTTGAGTTGTCAATGTAATTTCTTAACCACTAGACCACCAGAGCTCGCTTTATTGTATTAGGATGACAGAGAAGTGATAAGCTCATCAGAGTTTGAATATCATCTGACAAATGACACATTATAAGTGTGTATGAACTGGAAAGAGCATTTTGCTTTTGGTCAAAAATATTCAAAAGAGGAGAACACATCTGAGCAAGTTAAGAGTAGAAAGTTTTCATTTGGAAAATGAAAGGATAAGGACACTTTGTAAAAGGAAAAGTACGTGTGAGCTTAGAGAAGGGCGAATAGACATGTGCCAGAGGACAGGATGTATGAGGACTTTTTAAGTATGTAAAACAAATATAAATTGGTAAAAGGACAAAGGAAGATCTCCTGCTATACGAATAATTTCACAATTCATCTCAGCTCTTTTAAAACCATATGACATAGATTATCCTATTATTACTTTCAGCCTCCTACTTTGTCACTGCCTAACATGAGGTAAATTACTACCTGGCATTTATTACATATGTGTTCATTTAGGGTGATATTGTCTGTTATACATATGGGAGTTTAAACCCCCTATCGAAAGAAATCAGTTTGTCTTGTTTACTGCTGTTTTCTCAGAGTTTAGGTGTGTGCTGGACAAGTCGGTGCTCAGTTCATGGTTTTAATGAATTCAAGGAAGAATGATACAAGAGAGTGACTAGATAAAAGTTTGGAAATTAGTTGCTATCATTGCAACATTATTATAGGTCTTATTGTGAGTCTTCATTTTCAGCTTCTGAGATAGCAGCTGTCCAATCGCTGTTCCACTGAATAAAGGTTATCAAGGCATTCTATTCAACTCATTGCAAGCTCCTCAAAGCTTCAGTGGACCCTTCTTGTGCTCTTTTATGAGTTAATTTTCCCTGGTAGTCAAAGTGCTACACCATTAAACTATTCTGACTCTATTTTATCATATATTATCATATACTTCATTATAGCCAAATTCCTTGGAATTTATGTTTTACTACTAGAGTTTTTCCTACTTATAAAAATTACCTCTCTTTCACCAGTCATTTTGCGTGCCATCTCCAAGATCTCTGCTAGTCTTCATACCTAGCTATGCTCCCCTTCTTCTTGAGATTGTAAATAAATGTTTCCTTTTCCTTAGTGATTTGTGTTTGCCTGGTGCCCTCCTTCTAACCCTGCGGAAAAGGAGCATGTCCTACACACATACTTCTCTGCCTCCTTTCACTCCTTCAGCCTTTGTACAGTGCACTGCCTTTATAGTAGGAGCTCTATAAATATTTGCTAAATTGAATTATCAAAATGATGTATTGAATTTTCAGAGCTAGGGATCATGAGCCTGACAATTTTCTATGTCCTCTGAACTCTATTACATGTGTTGACATACTCAATAAATATTTGTTGAATTGAACTAAAATGAGTATACTAAAGCTCCATCTGTAGTTTGTCCAACTTGTTTGAAGCATTAGAGAAAAATCCATATCCAATTACAACAGTAAATCAGGTGTAAAGTCGTCAGGGAGCATTATAATGACAACTTTTCTCTCTTTTTGCTATCTAGGGAGCAGTAATGAATGAAATGGAAACAGAGCTCATTGGAAGTGACAAATATGCCGCAAGGTTTGGAGAATCTATAGTTAATCTTGGCGACATTGACAATGATGGCTTTGAAGGTAATTAGAAGTCTCTAATTTGGTGCTTGATTTCACTGTTTAAAATAGCACATGGAAAAAAATGTGATTGAGTTTTGTATTTCTAGCTCATCTGTAGAAAATGGAACCAGAATAGTATGTTGCAAGTGTGTGTGGTTCGTGCATTTTACTTTATAGTGTTTCATCATCCTAATTTTCCTGAATTGTGAAAATTTTATGTTCTTGATGAAGGCTGATATTCAAAGTAGCTTATTTCTTTGACTCTAAGACTCTACTAATTAGAACCAAAACCAAAACAAACCCCTTGCTGACTAGTTAATTCAAACTCATAGGTTTGGTTTTGTAACCTTTTTCATATTGTTGTTGTATGTGCTGTCGAGTCACCTGAGACTCATAGCAACCCTATTTACAACAGCCCTAAACCCTGCTCTATCTTGTGCCAATCTCACTGTCTACAGCATACCTACCCCAGTCACTGAATCAATCCAACTCATAGAGAGTCTTCCTCGCCGGTGCTGTCCCTCCACCCTCTCAAGCATAATGTCCCCATCCAAGGTCCACCCTTACAACATGTCCAAACTATGTCAGACAAAGCTTTGGAATCCATGCCTCCAAGGAGCATTCTGGTTTAACCATCTCTAGGATGAACCTGTTTATTTTCTTAGCAGCACATGGTATATTCAATACTCTTATCCAACACCACAGCTCAAAGGCATCAATTCTCCCTAGTCATTGTCCAGCTCTCTGATGCATAACAAGTGATTGCAAAGACCATGGCCTGAATCAGGTGCACCTTAGTCTCCAGACTGACATCATTGCTCTTCAATACTTTGTAGAGGTCTTTAACAGCAGACTTTCCCATCGCAATATGTCTTTTAATTTCCTGGCTGCTGGTGCCAAGGTGTTGATTGTGGAGCCAAGCAAATAAAAGTTGTTAACAGTCTCAATCTCTTCACCAACCATCATAATGCTGCCAATTGGCCCAGTGGGTGAGAATCTTTGTTTTCTTGATACTGAGCCTCAGTCCATATTTAGGGCTGCAGTCCTTGACCTTCGGCAGCAAGCGCTTCAGATTCTTCTCAGTTTCAGCAAGCAGGGTTGTGTCATCTGCATAACATAGGTTGTTGATGAATCTTCCTCCAATCCTGATGCCACATTTCTCCATATACAGCCCAGCCTCCCAGACCATCTGTTCTGCATACAGGTTGAAAAGGTATGGAGACAAGACACATCCCTGGTGTACACCCTTCCAAATTTTGAACCATTCAGTGTTTCCTTGTTCTGTTCTGAAGATAACTGATAACTATGTAAAACATACTAGGAAGCTATGGTGACATAGTGGTAAGGAGCTATGCTGCCAACCCAAAGGTACACGGTTCACATCATCAGCTACTCCACAGGAGAAAGATGAGCATCTTCTTTCTGTATGATTAAGACCTCTGAAAACCCTTGGGAGTGTTAGCTATGTGTCAGATCTGACTCAACAACACAGAACAACAGAATGTAGAGCATATGAGGTTAAAACTCACTTGGATACTGGAATTAAATGGAGATGCAATAAGGTCTTAGTCTCTTAAATTCAGCTTTTGTCCAAATGCTTCATCTACTTTAAATTTACAAAATATATAATTACACAAAACAGTTACAGAATAACTGATCCCTGATGTCAGTGTGTCTTACTTAATGTAAAGTGTTATAATTTGATACACAGATAGTACCAATCAGATTTACTTTTATAATTTTTATAAGGAAAGGAAAGAACATGTATATGTAGATATGTTTAGAGTTTATTCTGATTGAACATTAAAGCATTTAACACTACATGCTTCTGTCATGTTGACTGTTTCATAAATAGTAATTCTGCAATACATACTGAGTATTATGCTTGCAATATTTATTGTGCATTTATAGCATGCCATACCATACCAGGTATAGATTGTATGCTATTAAAAGTGCAAATGACAAAATAGTGATACTCTTTCTATGTTTACAGTCAAATGGAATTATAATATTAAAACATGAAAAATAAAATTTATTTCATTTCTGCAAATACTTGCTATGCATCAGAGAGCTGGACAATAACTAAGGATGATAGAAGAACTGATGCCTTCGAGTTGTGCTACAGAAGAGTATTGAATATTACATAAACTGCTAAGAGAACAAACAGATTCATCCTGGAGAGTGTGAAACCAGGCTGCTCCTTGGAGGCAAGGATTCTGAAGCTCCGTCTAACTTTTGGCATATTGCAAAGAGGGACCAGTCCTTAGAGAAGGACATCGTGCTTGGAAGGGTGGAGGGACAATACAAGAGAGGAAAACGCTGGATGAGATGCATTGACTCAGTGACTGGGGTATTGCAGGTTAGGTGTATCAGAACTAATGAAATTGGCTCAGGATAGAACAGAGTTCAGAGCTGTTATACATAGCATAACTATGTTATACATAGGGTAATTATGAGTCAGAGTCAACTCGATGGCCCACAACAACAACAACAACAACAACAGTGGTTAACTAAAGCACATAGAGAGATCCTATTTGATAAATACCCATAATCTAGAACTACGTTTGTATATCTTATTTATATTCTGTATGATTGATGTGCAATTTGCAGGCTGGAAAGCCCAACAGAGGATCAGCTATGAGTTGGTTCTGACACAACAGAAATGAGTTTTATATGAAATAATAGTATTCTTTCCTTTAAAATACCCAAATTATACTTCAGCTAAGTGCTTGTGTTGCTTCCTTGTGCTTCCTTCTGCATCTTGTTTTAATTGATACACTCAGAAAGACAAGTCACAGTTTTGAATGTGGTAATTTATCTATACATGTGTCTATGTGTGTGTACATGTACTTGAGATGCTATTTTAATGCATAAAGATATCAGTGACAGACCTAAATTATTTCTGAAATCAAAAGAGTTGTTGCAACATCATGAACAACAGGCAGATTCTCTCATCAAATTGTCTCTAGACCTGGGAAAGTCCCAGGCAATTTTCCAGAGATGGAAAAGATAGAAAGTTTTCTGTCCATACCACTTAGGCAGGATAGACTTTGAGGAGACCTTCAGGATACAGTGTAATCTGTTAGAGTCCATAGAGAATATGCATGTCAAATAGGATTTCCTCCTTAAAGAGCTTCTCAGCATTTAACTCTGAAAAGTTGTTGTTAGGTGCCATCAAGTCGTGTATGACCATAGCAATCCTGTGCAACAGATCTAAACCCTGCTCTATCCTGTGCCATCCTCCTAATCTCTGACACACTCAAACCCTTTGCTGCTGTCCAAAGTATGTGAGGTGAAACTTTATCATCTTTGCCTCCTAGGAGCTCTCTGGGTGCATCTTCTCCAAAACCTATCTGTTTGTTCTGTTAGCAGTCCATGGAATATTTATTTAGCACTCTTCTCCAATACCACAGCTCAAAGTCATCAACTCTTCTTCTGTCATTTTGTCGTTGTCTAGCTCCTCTCAAATGCATAAGACCATGTTCTGAATCAGGTGCACCTTAGTCCTCAAATTGACCACACTGATCCTCAATAATTTGAAGTGGTCCTTGACCACAAAGTTTCCCAGGGTAATACGTCTCTGATCTCCCAACTGCTAGTACCACATGTATTGACTGTGAATCCAAGTAAGATGAAGTCATTTGCAGTTTTAGTCTTTTCTCCATCTATCATGATAGACCAGTGGAGAGGACTTTTGTTTTTCTGATGTTGAGATGAAATCCAAATTAAATATAATATAGAATCTATATTTTATCTGGAATACTATTCATCTAAAACATTGCTTTAACATACATTTAAAATTTTTTATCATAATTGTATTTTTGGTGAAAATATACACACCAAAATAGATTACAGTTCAACACTCTCTACACATAATGACAGTTAAAGTCTTCAGTTTGTGTCCACATTTTCTTTATGTCAACATTACTTCCCTTCTAGTTGTTTCACTTCTGTTAATTTGTACTTGCCAAAATTTAGAACTTCTCATCTCTGTTTTGGAGTAACTTTTGTCCATTTTTAGACTACTTTTTAAAGAGCTCAGTTTTCAAGGATAACATTCTTGACAATTTTAGCTAACCTGCTCTTTAGCTAAAGGGCACTTGCAGGGCAAAGGTATAGGAATTTCTTCCATCTCAATGCGCCTAGTAAGTATAAATTCTTGACATTTTGAGACTCTATGCCACATTTTTCTCTCCCTGTCTATGAAGATACATCCATTGTGACCCTGATCAAAATGTACTTAAGGGACATCCCATTGTCTTGTGGTCTCAAAGTCGAAGAGGAATGATTTTTGCTACTTAAAATTCCATTTACATCTCACAAAATATTTCTTATTAGCAGTTACACTAATGCTAGTTCATTACAGAGAATATTTTATAATAGCTTATCTCCTCCTGCTTGGTCCATTCTTTTAATTTTGTTTTATGTCTTGCATTTTGAATGTAAATTATTTGGAAGTAAAACCAGTGTGCTCTAATTCTTTACCAACGTATTTAATTCCATTCCACTGTGTCTGATGATGAGATGAAGCACTATGATATCTAAGTTTTATATTTCTGTACATAGTTTCTATTATTTGTTCCTGATCTTTTGTCTTGCTTTACGGAGTGCTGGTAGCATGGTCCCTAAGGATTTGTGTTACTAACTCAAATATCATGTGTCTCTGATGGTTTGAATCTACCAGTGATTCCATAGGACAAAGAAGGGCAATCTTCTCCCTTCTCATTCACAACCTCAGTAAGTTTATGGAGGGTCAGTTTTGACTCAATGGCAATGAGATTAAGAGATCTCACTTTATTTTTAATGAATATAGATAATTTATTTTCTGCAGGGAGGTTAGTATTATGTAGAAAGAGCATAATATAATAATATAATATAAAAGAAGATTAGGATAGGATAGGATAGGATAGGATAGGATAGGATAGGATAGGATAGGATAGGATAGGATAGGATAGGATAGAATAGAATAGAATAGAATAGAATAGAATAGAATAGAATAGAATAGTAGTTCTTTTTCTTCC